GCGCCGCCTAATAATATGACTTTTTTTCATTACAAACATGAAACAGCCATCCACTGTACTGTTCGGACGAACGACGTGCGCTGACAATTAAGAAACGATTTCTCGATCCGGTGAACCGATTGATCACCGACTCGCGTTCCCGTGCAATCTTCTCCTCGTTCAGCCCTCGGCTTATCAACCGAGTCACGCGAATTAATAAGCAGCATGTGTCGATTTTATCACGCTGCATTTTTTTTTAATCTCTTCAAGCTTTTATCGAGGTCTGATAAGTTGATCAAATATTTTTCTATCAAATATTTGATCGAACTAGTATAATACTTGAAATACATTAAGGGCAACTTGAAGATGATTGAGAAATATTGATTCAATTTCATAATGGAACAAAAAGATCGAAATATGTCGCTACGATATTTCAAAGGCTGCACCGCAGCTCCCTATACACGAAAGTCATCCAATTTATATTCCTTTAACAGAATCTTATTCATGGCCCTTCTGATATTTTTCGAAGCTCCGGCCAATCTGAATTTCTTCTCTGCCCGATTGGTTCGTACACGCGATCGCTTTCTCGTTTCGATATCGCCCTTCCATTAGCCACGACCCTTCGCTGAAATTTTAATTGAGAAATTCGAGAAACTCGCTCGACCGATGGAGTTGGCATTATTTTTTCAAAGGGTACGTTTCGATCTTTTCTTGGCTCATTGCCTAATTAAAGAATTTAAAGCAATCAGCAAAAGAATGTGCATCGGAATCAGTTATACTGCATTTGTAATCAATCTCTGATGACCGTCGATGAGAATGACAAGAAGAATTTTAGTAAAGCTCCTTAGTATTAAAAAAGTCCAAAGGATTATTCAATTACAATTTATCGACTATTTAACTGCGCTGGAGAAGATACTACGGCCTCTCTTAATCGTGACCTAAATGGAAATTGGAAACTCCAGGGAACATTAGCGAACCACGGTGGGCCATAACAGCCTCCCTACCGACGATAATTATTCGCTAATCAACAACAATGCACCATCCCTCGGTGCAGTTTTGCTAGTAAAAAGCACGCAGCCCCCTTAAAACCAAATTCGTTCCCAAATCGTCTTCGCAATAAGAAATAATGAAAAAAATAACTTCCTTACTGGTCTTGCAAAAGTGGAACAAGCTAATGAATAGAAAACTAGCATGAAGAAGCCTCAGATTTCCGGTGGGAAAGAATTCCATAAACGTGGAACGAGCCAGTCCTGCAGGCATTAAAATTTCACGAATTAATAGCGTTCCGGAAGTAGGGTGGAAGGAAAAATGCGGGGCCGATAGGCTCGCGAGAAACTCGTTGACATCGGAGTTACGCTGTAACATTACCTTGCACGTATAATCGAATAACGCGTGCAACGTTAAACGGATTATTGTTCTTTTACCCCAGAGTGAAATCTTGACGCGACAGGAAGCACGTGACGTAATACGTGCAACAAATACCGAAGTAGTGCAATTCCATTTTTATTTTAACCAGCAAGTTCAACAATTTAATCATTCTTATTAAAACTATTTTTCTTATATGATATTTAATCATTCTTATTAAAAATCATTTTTATTAAAACACTGCTTCTGTTTCTTTTGCACTTAAATATTATGTGCAAAATTTAAGAATAAGCCGTATTAATTATTTATATACTTAAAATATTTCAATATTAATTATAAATATAATTCGTTATTTCGTATTGGGAGAAGAAATGGAGACGTGGAACTACTTGTTCGTTCTGATTAAAAGCGGAAGATTGAAATTCCTGGTCGCATGCTCGAGGTCCGTGAGACAACGTGATTAATTATTCGTGGACGTCGCACACGTCCTCCCGTGAAAATAATTACACGGTTAGAGAGTTGAAGAGGTAGAGATTGCCGCGACACTTGAGCCACCCTGTACGTTCACCCCCGGTCATAGACACGAGGCCCGCCTGACGACAAGCTTGCAGAAACTTGCGCAGATCCGAGGAGAGCACGAGTACTGGACAGGAATCACGCATGCGGGGGTGTTGGCCGATCGCCGATGGTCGAAGGGGGCAAGGAAACCAGATAAGAGAAAGGAATGAAAGGATGTTGAAAAGAATCACGGAATGATACAAAAGGGAGAAATAAATAATTGGAGCAATAATTGGAAAATATAAAATTCTATGCACGAATCTTTGATCAGAAGTTCAAACAAGATTTTACTGACTGATTATTAATCACGACAATTTCTGCAGTTTTGAGGATTTTAGAATTTAAATAGATTGCTAGAAATTTTGAAGGAATACCATTTCGTTGGTCAATCTGTTTTGAACGAATCCTTACTCGAAAGATTTTCCAGCTTTGGAAAATCAGATTCATTCGATGTGTCGAACCGAGGAAACGTAGCCTGCGGGAGAAGATAGGTCATAAGAGAAGAGGCGTGGAAGAATCTTAAATAGAAAAGAATTGGAGCAAAAATGAGAGTGATGCCCAAAGGGAAAATAGTGGTAGAAAGAAAATTCAAGTGAGGGATAATAAGGGGTGGGAGGTGGTGGGAAGCGTGCGCAAGAGGGTGGCAGAGGGCGATGCAAAATCGTTCCGGCTGCACAGTCGCAGGAAAATCGAACTCGGTCGCTAGTGTATCGCACACCGGCGCAGCATTCACTTCCGTTTCTTCGTGCATTTCCGTCTCGGGAGAAAACGAGCACGCGAAGCCATGCTGCTGGACGCTGGCTGAATCGCGGCTTCGCGTAACACAAAAACAATAATCGGGAGAGTGTTATAAGGGTTGCTTCTTTTATTAGAATCGAGTCCTGTGTCCCTTCATTTTGGAGAACATGATCAAACCGGTTCGACGTTCCAAATTTTTCGACCGTCCAGCAGAATTTCGGGGAGATCTGCACTGTACTTAGCATTCGAGGAAAACACGTTCTTATTCTAGTTTCTCTCGATTAGATCAGATTTTGTGAAATCATGTGTCTGGTGCTTGGTCAACGTTGTTCAGAATTTAATCCAGTGTAAGCTTGTATTTATAATAAAATCGTATCAGACTTCGTTCAGATTTGTGTTTGCGATGCCTCGAGCACGATTTACAGTCCTAAAGAGCATTGCTCCGTTTTAAAATACTGCGATCGTTCGTCAACAACGATGGATTCGAATCGATCAGGGAACGCGAAAGAGCGAGCACGTGAAATGATGGAGCGCGAGTGTCATTCATCGTCTCCGCGTCTCGTGAGGTGTGGGCGAAACGTGGCTTGCGCAATTGCATCACATGACGCAAAGTCGGGAAGCCTGACAAGAGGTGTTACAGGAAAGCCTCGAGCTAAATAGGACTTTGATGGAATACCTGACCCATCCAACTAGTGACAAATGATTTATCTGGAGAAATTCCCGAGCCTTTGGATATCAGATATCCCGCCCGCAAGTTAATGAGAGACTATTATCTAATTCGCTTATGCCGCAACCTATATTTTACAGCCAACGGGGCTCGAAAATAGAATTAACAGTCGAGTTTATGATAGCTGACCGGGTTTTCTCAAAATGTCATCAACTCGATCGATGCGTTCTATAGCTATCGTCCGACTCGTTCGCTTAGCACGGTTCGTTTTTCTCGAAAACTGAGAAAGCTCGCGTAAGAATAAACGAGTGATGATAATGGCCTGTTGCATAACCGGCGATAACCAGTACGTTCGCTTCCGGTAGCGCGTTATCGTTGGACGAGAAACTTAAAACCATTGCGATCCGAGTTCTCCACAATCTTCCTTATTGGCATTGGCAGATAATCAAATTTTCATATCTATAGATCTAAGAGCTCGTAATATCGTGAGGAATCCTAAACAAACTAAATCCAAACAAACGAGAATTCCCTCCTGCGATCCGGCAGAGCTTTTAACAAACCATAAATATGAAAATACGCATAAATAATGTATAATTGAAAGGACTGTTTATTGAAGATTGTGACTCGACACGTGATAAATTCTCTAAATAAAACAAAGGGCTGTCGCCTTCGCTTCCTGAAATCATTAACCCATTTCGTTTGATTTTATTCAGTCAACACATTTTCCGCAAACTGACAATGAGTTCAGCTCACAAGCCCATCTATTCCGCGACGTGTTCAAATATACTTCGCGCGAAGAAAACGTGTCTATAGACCTATTTGAAGTCACCGAAGAGATACCTCTAAAGAGTAGGCCGTGTCCATGTAATCATCCGGACAGTGAATGGGGCCCAATGGGGTTTAAAACAATCTTGCAATAAACGATTTTATTTATTTATTAATTATTGGTGATACTTAAAAAATTTTTATATGGATGTTGTAGGCGCTGATGTTCTCTACGAGAAAAATTCTATGCATTTTTCTTCTAACTTCGATATTTAACAAGTTAAGTACGATTAATTGGCATTTTATGGGTACTGACAAAATCCGACCATTCCACCGTCGAAAGAGCGAACTTTTGATAAAAAATTTCGTTTTTCCTCAATAACTCCGAAACTGTTAGACTTACGGGAAAATTGCATAAGACCTTTTTTGTAGAGGACGATAAGATCTACAATTTCCATATAAAACTTTCTCGCTAGCGTCAATAGTTTACGAGTTATCGACGAAAAACGAAAAAACAGTTTTTCGCAAATTACTCGTAAACTATTGACGCTAGCGAGAAAGTTTTATATGGAAATTGTAGATCTCGTCGTCCTCTACAAAAAAGATCTTATGCAATTTTCCCGTAGATCCAATGGTTTGGAAGTTATTGGCAAAAAACGAAAATTTCGCAAAATTTGAAGGGTACCCCCTTGGAAAAATCTTGGAAAAATTGAAAATTTTTTTTTTGTCAAAATATCGAAAAATCCTTCAAATAAAAGTTGTAGGTACTCCTATTACCTACAAAAAAGGACGTATATAATTTTCTTCTAGTTCGTATACTTCAGGACTAATCGATTAATTATTTCGTTCATCGTCAATTACTCTTTAACAAATAAATTATACGGTCAGCTTGGCCTTGGTTTTTCTTTTCTATTTCTTATTTCGGTAGCAATATATTCTAGAGGATATAAAAAATTGCAGACTTTTTGTGCGACACGAAATGCCATAAGGCTGCCACTCTAGTAATTTCTCCTAATCTTATTCCAGTAGTATACTTCCAAAGTAAATGTCACCCGCATTTCTACGTAATAAAATGTAATTATTATGGGTATCTTACAATGCAATTAGTAATACATTTTATTATCCACAATGCTAATGCACTTTGCACGGGTTCTGACGCAAAGGAAACGGTGATAAGAGCGAAGACGATCAATGAAACTGGCGAGTGTGAGTACTGGTACGTACCAGATATGATCGCGCGTGAACTATGTCCACCTACCGCTCGAGTCTATGTAGGAAGGCAGCTTAGATTTCGCGGCATTAAAGGAAAGCGGTTCGAGGCGGTTTCCGAAGGGATTAAGGGACAATTGTTTAATATGAACATGTTGGAACCTCGTGTTGGAACTCCTATTGCGGTGACGGAATTACTGGATGCGGTGGACGGTCAAGCGATACCAGACATTAATCATTTCGTGTCTGAACAGCATTAACTGCCTCTGATCGTGTTTCCGGTTATTACATTTGTAGGTATAGTCTACAGAGAAGAATTAAACGACTTGCGTTATAATTGTTTTATAGATTCGATTGAATTTAACAGGATTAGTGTAAATTTGTTAATACTGGATGTCAACAGCATATATCTCTAAAATATTCTTGCACAACGTTACGATGTATGAAAGGGTAGTTTATCTTTCGCTCGATAATACTGACGATTTCGTAATACTAAGCTGTCTCTAAATTTTTTATCAACGACTAAAAGTAAATGTGGCTGATCTTTGAACCTTAAAAAATTGTCTATTAAAGGAAAAAGTACTGTCGCCTTTTTCTAACCGATAGTACAATCTTAATCTTATCTGTTGGAATGTCTCAACATTTTGAAAGACTCCTCCCGTATTTATAATAATAGGCGCAATAATAAACTGTCTATCAATAAAAACGGACACCATTGCCAACAAGCTTCACGGTTCCTTACGTAACGCCGACATACGAGGGTGCGGTACCTGGTATTATTCATTATTATCTCCAGTGGTGAATAAAATATTTGGCCTTGATCTAAATAATCGAATGCTCGAATATCGAAAATGTCTATAAATAAATGAGCAAACCGTTCTAAATGAAAAAGAACAGGACACTGTCGCAGCCCGATGGCCAATCACTGATTCATTCCCGGCATTTTAGGCTTTCGACACTTGGCTCGTCGATTCCCGCCGCGTTCTCTGTTGCAACATTGTTTGCACGGATGTCCGTTCGATAATCGACCTATTTTTAACCCGAAAGGATTAAAAGGAAAAAGAACCAATGGTCTAAGTTTTCTATGATTTTACCTATTCGTTCTACATATTTCCTCGTGAAATCAGCTCGTATGTTACAAATATTCATGTATGTATCACTAAAGAGAAACGGAAACATTCTCTTGGTGTTGTCTAGCTTTGTGATCAAAGATCGTGGCACGTACTTCGGTCGTGGTCAAAAATTAGTGTCATTAGTGACGGTGCCATAATTACAACGCGTCTCAATATACATCGCTGTTCCTGACCTTTCTGTGCCTCACGCCTCAAGTAGTATCACCGTCTTTCTTCTTTCACAAAATGTTCAAAACTGTATTTTTAGCAATCAGGAATTTTTTAAATCCTGATTTTTCTGTATGTTACGTCGTCGTTCATATCTTGAGACGATCGCTGGCCGTAGGAATGGTAATCTCTTGAGTTTTTCACGAAAACGATAAACGCAGGATGTTTTATGTAATCCGATAATGAAACGGCGTGCAACCTACTTGGCATCGGAGTGTGATCGCGCGTAGTAAATTCGTGCGTTTCACAACATTATTTTTACCCGAGACGTATTGTTGTTGGCGTATCGCAAACGACTCGCTTGTTTTACGATTAATCTTTTAAACATTGTAATCGTACTGCTAGTATGTGCATCAATGCGTCGCGTGCAAAATGCCAGCCGTGGCCCGAGATTCACTTCGCGAATTCGGGGGTCTCAGGACCGGAACTAAGTTTAGACGCTCTGAGAGTCCGCTTCAAGCGTCGGAATCTCTTGTTTATTCTTCGGCGATAAGATATATTTCGTATTTTTTAACAGCTCGTTCGCACGTCTTGTATAACAGGCCTAAGCTTGCGGGTCCTAAGTAGCGTCGTTAGAAGTGCATGAAGCGAGATGTCGAAACGCATCTTCGATTAACACTGCAGTCAGAAATCGTGGAAGAGTGAAAGTAGGTTTCCTTGTTAACATAGGACTTTCCTAACGAGAGATACAAAGTTTACTAAGTACTCTACGAGATTTCAACGTCTCAGAACAACTGGATTTCCGTTGATTAAAGTCTAGCACGGATAGATTCGTATTTCTCTAAGCGATACGATTACGGTTCCACGTGAGATATATTGAGTCGCAGCGAGGATCGGCAAACAATTAAGTCAGCTTTGTTCTTTCCCACGATTCAATGAACCGTGGAAGAGAGGAGTCGACCTACGACATGGTTAGCGAAGCCGAGGGCCAACGCTGCTGATCCTCGCCCGTTTTCTATTCTAATTCTGCGGCTATTCTAGTCCACGACCGCCGGCCAATGGGCTACGTCCGCCAGAGAGTAAACGTTCTCTCTGTCTCTCCTCTCCTGCGCCCCTCTGTACCCCGTTCCTCGCGTCAACCGCAGTCGTTCTCGAGGCATCGCATGCACCAGATTATTCGTTCCTATCCTCCTTTTATTTGTCCACGCCGTTCGCGATTGAATCCTGGAACGGCGGAAAAATTCATTCGACGACTTTCCCCGTGAGCGCAAGTGCTTTCTTTTAATATCCCTCAGTGGCTGTGAACATCCAAGTCGAAGTAGAAAATTCAAGCAGGGGCAGAACGCGCTTCGGGGATCCGCGATAAGCGTGATCCTGGGGTCAAGGATCGACCATAGATCTCGAGAGACAATTCCGTAGATCTATTGCGTTCATCGTATGCTGGTGACTTTCAAAGTAGAGGACGGGTCGAGGGTTCGTTCACGTGGTTCCCCTCGTATCATCTTTCATCTTTTTCTCGTTCGAGTGTGAAAGACTCTGGTGATCCGTTGTGTGCACGAAAAGGGGTGAATTTCGCGGGAGAGAGACGGGGTGTGACTTTGTAGGGGAGGCGCGCGAGGACAGTAAGAAATGCAGTGGCGTCGACAGCGAAGGATTACCCACGTGATCGGATCATCTAATCACGTTCTACTTTTAGCGAGGTACCAAGACGGTACGGACATCCTGTGGAAGAGACTGATCATGGTTCTTAGACGAGAGCTTCCTATTCTTTTGCTATTCTTTTTTTTTGTCCAACACGTTCGCTGTTCCATATGTAATCTTCAGACGTCTGTACTGTTATTTATAGCGAGTTCCCGGCAGTAGAGAGTTCTCCTTTTCATGTCGCCGAACTTTTAATGAGATCTGAGTTTCGATTTATATTTGCGTAAATTGCATATCGAGGAAACCTGAATCGCTTACGTTAAATTGAACAGTGGACGTGTTAATTCGTATTGAAGCGAGTAACGAAGACTTAGATTGTCTCATTAGAGAGATGTATTTAGTTGAGAAACTAGTGCACATGCTTCGTTTCATCCATGAACAGTCACGAATGTACAGTAGTGATAGAATAATGAAATGTAGAGTTGCACAAGATCACTTATAGTTTGAAAGTAAAGCTTTTAATTAGAAAATTAGGTGTATTAGAACTTGCCTTTTGTTTCCTTAGGGACGAGCACACCTTGTGCCGACTTTTAAATGAAGCTAATTTTAATGTAGTTGTACTCAGAGTCATCGGAGTTGCTTGTTACTATCTAAGAAAAACGCGTGGTACGCTTATCTGTACCACAAATCATTCCACTTTGAGCTTATCTGTACCAGAAACCATTCCACTTTGAATTTCGTACAGAATTTTTTACAAGTCAGGAATTGTGAAATAATACTTGTTACGATATAAAGACTGTATTATGCTCAAATCGAATTAAAAAAATATTGAATTCTTTCGAGTCTTTGACCCTAAAAGCATAGTATAACCAACTATGCCAAGATGTTTATTGTAAGCAAATACTGTCGGGCTCGGGTAACAAATTCCTATGCAACGTGAATCCGATCGATCGCTGGTGTTCTATGCGAGCTTACTCTTACCCGTGTTACTTGTTATCCTCCATCGAGGATGATTATTATAAAAAAGAAAGCATTCTTTCGTGGTATTTTAATTTAATGAAAACCTAAGGAAGAAATGTTCTCCACTTGGTTCTCAGCTCCGCCCGGTGAAGAGGACGAAGAAGAGGGATTGCGAAACGGGTTCGTGAAGGGAAAAGAAAATGACACGGGCACGCACAATTTCGGTCGTAACCCGCAGAGTGGGCACAAGCCCCGGAGATCCGGAAGCACCGACGGTGGCTACGCTGGCGCCCGCCACAAAGACGAGTCCTCCGGTTCGCCGTCCCAGCCAAAGGTCATCTTCAACGAGGACGAGTACACGAGAATCACTACCCCTCGGCAGGACATGCTGTTCAAGAAGGGCTACCTATCGAAGAAGAAGCCGTGGACCGGGAACGCAAACACCAGCGCGACCTCCTCGACTACCGAGAGCCAATCGGCGTCGCATTCCACCGCAGGTAGAGGTATAGATAGAAACGTTGATGCATTTCATCGAGTTTCTCTGGCTTGTCTCGTCCGTCCCTTCCTGGTCGTGACGTCGTTTCCGGGAAGATGCTTGAGTGGCAGTTGTACGTTCGACTTACCCTCGTCGAGTCTAGACGATTTTCTGTGTTTCTCTAGTCGAAATGCATAGTAAACTTCGTACGTTCTCTCGTCACTAACAACAGACTATTTTAACTGAACGTGTGGTAATGCATCAAGTGAATTATTTCGTGTCCGTGCAGATAGAATTGTTAATTTAATCGATCGAATTGGATGTTAGACGGCAGCGAGACGACCGAGGATCAACAGCTGTTGGACAGGGACTGCACCACGGGCGAGTATCCACCGATGATGGACTCTGGCGCGCAATTAGGCTACGGGACGTTTTACGACCACGTGGGTGGTTACTACTACGAGTATCCTGTGATGTTGGTCGGTCCTGCGCCGATGCACCCGGCGCAGATGGCTCCGAACGTCCTAGCGGCTATGCCCTGTGGACCGGTACCCCTCAGGCCGATAGAATGGGTCAATCCTGCCTTTGTACCGAAGATGCCTGGGCAACCGTATTGCATGATGAATTACGAAGTGCGTTAGAATCTCGGTCATACATTTTAATGAGATGAAGAACAAACGATCAGAAATCGATTGAGTCGCTTTGTATTCGACGTTTCAGGCCAGCCAAGGCACGGAGGGTGCGGCGTTAGTGGAAGAGGGCAACGAGAGTTTGTTGCTACCGGAGAACTCGAACGGGACTTGCAACGAGAGCGGAACCGGCAGCGCGAGTTGCAGCGATAGCGTGGCCGGCGAAACGGAAGAGCAAACGGCCACGGAAGCCGCCAACGCAACCGAGGAACAACAGGCCGACGAACAAACGGAGGAGCAGACGGAGGAACAAGCGGAAGAGCAGTACGAAGACGAGCCGCAAGCGGAAGAGCAGCCTTTGGAGAACGGTGGACCGTTCTTTGATCCGATGTTGATGCAGCAGCCGGTGCAAGTTTCCCACGTGATACCAGTTCCTCAGCCGTACATGTACCCCGGGCACTACATGTTCGGTCCTCCCATGATCAACGTGAACGGTTAGTTGATAGAGACGAGAGATCTCCACTTATTCCCATTTGACTAGTCTCCCTTCTCTATCGGCAATGGATTCTCGAAAGAGGGTGTACCTTTGCTATCGCATGATTTTAGCCGCGGTTTCTTCCTGTAGCTTTGGTTCTGTTCATGGACAGATGGACGGAACAACGGGCGAACATCCGCAGGTCGTTTATCTCGCGACTTCGGGGAGGGACGGGTTCAAAGTTCCGCGATTCGCTTCGGATCCTTAAACTCGCTAATTCTCGTTCTGCTAATGCTTAAGTTATTTAATCAGAACGCAACGATCAGTCGAGACGTTGCGATGAAGTACGCGTTAAATTCCTTCCCCGCGTCAACCTAGGCGGTAGTACGTTTGATTGTACCTGTTTCTAATGTTAAACGAGAACAGTGTCGGTTGGATGCGCGGCCAGGAGAAAGGGATATAGCCAGATTCATGACTGCTGTCCCGTCCATCGGCATCATTGCTGTTTTATTACCGCCGTGCCTCTGCTACATTCAAGGTAAAATGGAATAATTCGCAAGGAGAGCCGTTGCGCTTTAGATACGGTCGCTGAGATATGGAGCAATTTGTGGCAAAGGTATTTTCAATAGAATTAATTGTAGAAGACAAGATAGTTAAAAATAGTTGAAATTTGATTATTGAACGTGGGCAGTACGCTAAAATTAATACAAATTTTCGTAAATTTAACCGTGACGAGATGCACGTCTTATGAATCTACATTTAGAAATCCAGTAACCTACATAGCCAAGATATGAATCATCTCTGCTCCAATATTTTATTCATTGTCTGATGTTTAAACAAAATTTTAAAGCTAACAATAATTGAACGTGAATTCGATTATAATCTAATAGATATATTTATTAAATCGTATCGGAAGCGGAGCGAAACGTGCGTGATCCGAATACCATGGCAGTTAGTTAAAAAACCATCGAACTGCGTTCCGTTCCTGGCATCGTCGAACTGATCGCGACCACGAAAATAGAGACACGGAAAGCTCCTTAAAAGAAGAGCGCCGCGCAACCGGTCGTCGTCACGCGATCCATCGTGGTTTCACCGTCGTCGAAAATAGTCGCGGATCCGCGGCGACGACGTCCGCGTGCATCCCCGTTCCGGCGATCGTACCTAAAGCCGAGATACTCTCCGACACGCTCGGTGTGTGTGTTCTCTCGCATACTTTGTTGTTCTAATCGTCTCGAGTCTCCGTCATCCGTGTTTCTGTCTCACCGTAATATATATATATACCATCGCAACTATCGGCACGCACGTTGCACACAGGGCGAAAAACTAAGCGTGAATATTCACCATTAACTCGCGCAAAATGCGATTTCTCACTGAGGGATAATGTACGCTTTCGTCTACGCACATCGACATTCTAATTGAACGTGAGAGCACGAGGAGCGGCGAGAGACTCCCAAGCCTTTGGCAGCTAGAGATCGGAGTGTCTCAAATAGAAGCGGTTTAAAATAGTCTCCTCGGTGGCGAAGGAGCTCGCGGGAAAAAGGACGAGGAAGCGGCAGAAAGGAGCCAAGTTCAGTCTCCGCGCCCTTCGTCGCGCGTCGATACCACTTTTCTCTTACGGGAATCCGACCTGTTGAGTGGGAATCGTGAGAGAGAAGTTCTATCGAGGCACGTTTCATTGAAATTTGTAGTCGGTTAGCGCTGCTCGAGGTCCGATTGATGGTGTGTTTCTGCTGTCCAAGGTGTTACGCTACAGGGCGGACCCATGATCAGAACCACGGAGTTCGCGGCTATGTCGGCGGCCTGTGCCAAGCGAAGAAAGAAAAAGAAGAGAAGGAAGCAGAGAAGACTTGCTGCGGTGAGTTTCGGAGATGTTTCGAATCGTTGACTCGAGCCCCTCGGTTCTATTCGCGGAATTAAATAAATGATCTCGGAATTTCGCAGGGTAACACGGAGGACGAGGAAGAAGGAGAGTACAGTTCCGAGTGTGATACCGGTCTACCGTCTTCCCGGCTGTCCTGGACAGCGTGTTCAACTTCGAGCAATCGACCGCTGAACCCCGAGTGCCAGGAGTTCCAGCTGCGGCAAACCGTCGAATTCGGTACTTCGCAGACCGAAATCCCAACGTCCGCCAACAATACGCCTACGTCCGAGAAGAGTTCGACGATGAATCAGTCGAGCACGTTGTCATCGGACGCGATGTCCGTCGATAACGAGGCGTGCAACGACGGCGTGTCCGACGATTCGAAGGACAGGAACGACGAACCAACGGAGAGCAGCAAGTCTGATCAGCAAGTGATGTCGACGTCTACGACTTTAGTGGAAATCAAATGTGAATCGAAGTCGTTGGAAGCGACCGACGACTCGGATAACGAAGCAAATAGACTGACGAACCGCCTACCCGACGACGGGCCGGCAGGTCCTTCGATGAACGAGACCGCGAGGGACACGACCGACCGAGAAAAACTGCCAAGCACTACCAAAGTAGCAAACAATGAAGCGCCGAGTGCCAATGAACTATGCGAACGACCGAGCAACGAAATGAACGGGAGGGTTCTAGTGAACGGGAAACTGGACTCCGACCTGAACAACGAGGGTGTGTCGACGAAAGTCGAATCGAGGTCGTCGTCTCCCGTGTGCGAAGAGAAGACGAGATCTAGATCGAACACCCCTAAGAGCGTGGAGAACGCGCAGGTTCGCGACGATCAAAGTCGCGAGACTCTGTCGAGTAGCAGATCGTCGTCGAACATGAATCCGAAGAAGTACAGCGCGAAGGGTAACAAGTTCGTGCGGGAACCGACACCGGGCCCGGATCTGAGCAATGCCACGGATGTAGAGAACGAAACGAATATCCTCGATCTGACTCAGAGTCTGGAGACCATGAATCTGTCCAACGACTCGAAGTCAGAATCTTGTGACGACAAGGTATGCAATTATCTGAGCAAAGAAGAAGTTATCGAAGCGCTGAATGAGGACTCTGGTTTCGAGAGCCAAACGAGGTTATCGGATTATCCGATCACGGAAGCGGTAAAGGAGTGGCTCCGCAGGGAAAAATCGCCAGACTTGTTCATCACGTCGACCGTGTCTATGGACTGCGAGGAGGACGAGGACGACGAATTGGACGAGGAAGAGCCGCCAAAAAACTTGCAAGGCAACCCCATGCCTGCACTATCTCTTAATAGCGGTGCGGACAATGCGGCATTGTCGCGCGCAGCTAGCTGCGGGGAATTCGCAAGGATCAGCAACGTCAAGAACGGGCAACAGGAACAGCAGCAGCAGCCGGAATTTAATAATGGTGGTATCTCGAGAAAGAAAAAAGATGCGAAGAAGAGATCGGAGGAACGAAGGCGAGTGGCTAGGCACGTAATGGACGGCAAGTTGGACCATGAAGTGATGTCCTCGTCGGATTCCTGCGGTCAACAAGAGGAGGTGATGAACATCGCGAGGTGGAAGAACCCGGTCAGGCAGCAACAGCAAGATGCCGTTGGTGAAGTTTGCGAATTTACTGAGAAGGATAGCGTTGCGGGTATGAGGGTTGCTTTAAGCTCTCGGATGGACTCGAAGAGGGTCAATGTGCGGCGAACGAAAAGACAAGGGAAATCGTACGCGCGGGATCCCACGAACAATAACGAAACGAAGAAACACGTGGACGACGTGGACGACGAGAACGATGAAGGGATCGTTGAGGATAAGATGAACGTCAGGACGTTCGAAAAGGGAGAGATAGTGGTGTCCGAAGAAGGGAAGTTATTGATGACTCCCGTTTACGAGATAAACTTGTGGAACCATCAAGACGCTTCGGCTGTGATCAAAACTGTGAACAAGAATGAAACGAGCAAACAAGTAACGGAAAAGAGGAAAGATAAGAGCAAAAGAAGCAGCAGCGACGAGGAAGAGAGCGCTAGCGGAATAGGTTCCTTGGACAGTATAGAGGAGCCTGACGTACTAGAATGCTGGGAGGCGGAAATAATCGAGCCTGTGATAACGCCGAAGAGGATGTTGCAAAGCGAGGGAGTATCGTGCGAGGGAGAGGCCGCGGAAGACGACACCATCGAGATCGAACAGGAGTACGTGCAGAAATACTATCGATTAGCGCGTGAGAGCATTACCAGCGTAGACGACATTAGTCTGAAGGCAGCAGACCCGTCGACTTCGTCCAGATCAGTGCCAAATACGTACGAGCAAAAGGAGGTTCCAACGTATAAGAAGCACGCTGGAGACAAGAATAACGTCCCCATCGACGAGGCTTTTGAAGTATACGAGAGCTGTTACAACGGGAACGCTCCGTTTCTGACGATCGATCCGAAAGTTTTCAAATCACGAACGTTGTACGGGCAGGAGGGCGAGCACCCGATACCGTGCAAGGCAGCCTGTTGTCGCATACAATGATTTGCCGCGGATATTTTTAATCAACAACCTCGTTCACGCGTGTGTCATCTGCACACGCTCCTCTCCACAGGGGCGTTTAATAACTACGTACCGATGTCAAGGCCGTCCTTTTCTAAGTACCGTAAGCCTCTGACGTTGTACTCTTTGCTGATTCATATTGTATAAGTGTATTTCGCGAACACGACGACAGACGGGAAACAGATGCGCGTAAGTTGTCGCCTATCGCGCCACTCATTATTATTTTCATTATCGCTATTATAGCGCGTTCTCTAATTGCGTTAAGCGAACTACGAAAGAAAGACATGTAGGAAGGGAGAGAACAACCCTGTGGATCGAAACTCTGAGGCATGCTCAAGGGCAGCGGATAATAATTATAGCAGAAGCCTACGTATCGCTATTCATTTTTGTAAATAGCTTTAAGAAGTCGCTGTCGCAAATCGTGTTTTACGAAGACTTCGTTCAGATGTTATTATCATATGCATGATTGTATATGTTTATATATATATGATATTTTTTGACATTGTCGTCGATACGTAACTTGATGCACATATTCCTTTTACTTTTCGTTTTCATTCATTCTCTTCTTTCTCTATTAATTTTAATTAAATGAGAGAAAAAAATAGTTCGTTCAACATGTATGGAACATCGTTTAATATGAATCGAGCTTATCGAAGAATCGGTTCACCGAACTGTATAAATATACGAATAAATCTTGAAGTCTGAACTCTGCGAAACAGAGTAACGAAAAACAAAGAAAAATACAAAATAATAAAAACGCGATCGACACAGATTTGATCGAAGCATGCTGCGCCACGTTATTGCTTCTGTTATTAATCGCTACGATATTTTGTAAGCATTAAACACACGAATTCTATTACATCAAAGTGACTAAGGCATATTTTTTACGAATCTTATTGTAGAACGTAAATTTTAAAGCACGTTCAAGTTGAGAAAAAAGAGTAAAGGAAAGAAAAAAATTAGCGTTGTTCCACGTACCACATTAGATGGCCTTTTTCGCTTAGAGACAAACCGCGGTTGTTCTTGGTGCAAGTGTTCTAAATGTAAGCGAGTTGTAAAACCATGATGTTCACTTCGATAGGGTCATGTTGAAAATTCCTAAGACGAGCAGAAGAGCTTGCGCGCTATTCATGGGAATTCGGGATTAAATAATCGAGCTACGCTTTAGATAATGTACAACAGTCGTATAAGACACAGTAATAATAACGGAGTAGAGTTTACAAAGGATTAGAGTTATCGGATATGAAACGAACGAAAGATTTGATGAACAAAATGAATACTATTTAACTATACCGCATGTAGCACTACGAGATGTATATAGATGAACTAAAGAGAAGATTTAAATCGCATTCGGTTCTTGTTGGACGAATAAGAGAAACGGCATGTTTGTATTAGATGTTCAAGTCTGGAGGGAAAAGAAAATAGGAGAACGAGCCTCACTCATAAGTACATACGTATAGTGTACACGTTGTACACATTGCAGAAGTTACAATTGTTATCTCATAGATCATGCCTTAGTTAAGTTGTATCAAGTAGATCGAATACCTCAGTTTGCATATTATGTAAGTCGATCGATAGACGTGGTTCATGAAAAAATGTCAAGTGTAGCTGGTACGTAATACGCATCGTGTATGTACGTATGGTATGTATACGCGTAACGATTTGCATTGATGTGGCAACAAACACGTATGATATACTGCGTACATTTTTGCAAACCGTTACGCATGATTCATACTGCTATCAGCTATAATTGATTAGAGAATACGTAAAAAGTCATATATATATATACCCCATATCATAAGGCGAAACATACCTCAGATACCTGTATATATAAAAAGAAACTACTGATCATCCAGGCATTAGCAACATCAATTACGATAATAATAATATTAATTATTAACATTAATGATAACGTTAAACGATAACTGATAATAATAATAAAACTATTATCACAACAGCGATATAGGCACAATCGTTCCTGCGAAGCTTTAGATTCCCTAAGCATCATTGTAACGTAACACAATAAATAATAATCCAGGACGATACCATAATAACGATAGAAGAAGAACGAAATTCATTTGACATCCAATTACATTACGAAGATATAAATGTATCGCTATATTGAATAACGCGTTGTATCAATTGTGTGCCTTATTCCGCGGCTACCATTTTTGTAACTATTCTCAAAGCCTTATTCTCGATGAAAACAAGAAGGGAAAGAGGACGAGGACAATGGCTATCGAGTGATTTATGTGACGGTTGAAATTTCGTGAAATCGAGAAGAAGACGACGAAACGCAAGGCTTAAGTTTCACATACTTACGGTGATGATGGTTCTATCCGAGCATACATACCAAACAAAGACGAATACATTGATTTTTTTTTGTTCATACATTACGACTACCATGTTCATCAATTATTTACGACCGATGCGTACATTCGTGAACATTGTTAAGCATTAACATCTTACACTAGCATCTTACACGAGAGACATGTTATCGTATACTTATATTTTAGTTGAAGTAAACGTGTAAGGATAAGTGTACTTGAATTTTGTTGTGTTTTTGCTTAAAAAATAACGAATAAAATGTTTCAATTACCTCTCGTCGGATTCTCAATCCTTCACCAACGTACACTTAATGGGTCACATCAATTAAAATAATAAAAAAAGGTACAGAACTAATTTTAAATAAGAAGACACATCTGAGCGGTACGTGCGTCCATTCAATTTCAGCGAACTATCCGATCTTTCAGATACGCAAGTGCAGGAGGTACCAATCGGAAGTCGGGCGATGGTGGAGCGCCGCTAAGCGATAGCTCGAAAACGAGCAAGATGGTCGTCGATACGATTCGATACGATACACGAAGCGAGATACGCGAATGGACAAGAAGTGCTGCCATCGTTCGCTCGTGCGAGAAGCTAGCCAGTTGGTCGGACGGAGACGGAACGACGGGCAACGCTAAAAAGAACGAAAGTGCGAGGAAGGTAAAACGATAGCGACTCCCGTTGATCGGACAAAGAGGAGGAGGACGGATCGTGTCGCGGTTATGAAGTAGTCTTATACAGATGAATACGCGCAGATCACACGACGAAAGGTCAGGAGCGTGTGTGCGTTCGCGATAGAGTAAGTGTAGCGGTATCTCGCTCTCTCGCACCGCGACAGAGCTCGGAGGTGGAGCGAGAGTGAAAGACGAAGTAGCGAGCAAGCGAGGGCGAGCGCGAGTCGGACCAGCGAGCGTGGAACGGTGTAGAGCGAGCGAGCGAGCGTGTGGTGGTGGTGGTGACGACTGGTGCCGTGGACGGACGGTCGGTCGGCGGTCGGGCCGTGGTGTGTGAAGAAGTGAAAAATTCGCAAGTGGTGTGCTGGGTTAGTGAGCTGGCTGATTAGTGGTGATATATCGGGGTCGCGCCACGGACAGTGCCGGGATTTTTGGTCGTCTTAGGGCCTGTTGCCGAGACGTCGAGGAACGACGCGTGGAACCGAAGATAGAGAGAGAGAGAGACCGCGGTTAAAGAGCAATGTCTGACCGGGAAAGCCTGGACGATCAACCGCAAAGTAAGGACGAGGATTATATCGTTACGATCCTGCGTGTACGAGTGTCGGACGTGTCCCGTGTATCGGACACGGGTTCGCGATGTATGCGTGTTGGAAATGTGCGCGGACCCGACATCTTTCCGTGCCCTGTGGCACCGTGTGCTGCGCCTCCGATTACCAGGACCCGTCTTTTCCATGAGCAAACGCGGCGACCTCCGTCACAGTCAACCCGCGCCGTTACTCCGCGCACGGTCCGTAAGCACCGCGGGCTCGGTACACGTCCATTCCTTCCTTTCGACCCTCGTGGCGTTCTGTCAACCGCCGAAAAGAATTGCTATTTTTTAACGATACCCAGGATCCAAGATGGCCGGCCGCGTATCGGCCGGAGAGACAAACCCTGTCCTCTTCCCTCCTTCGTCTTTATCTCTCTCACTCTTTCTCTCCGCTTTGTATCTCTCTGTCTCTCTTTTCCTCTGGCTCCCTCTTTACCTCGCGCCCCGTACTCCTCCTTCCTCTGTCTTTCACTCGTTTTCTCTACATTCCTCTCTCGCTCGTTTTCTCGTACACACGACCACGTACGCGAACGCGTTTGTATACGTATACAATATGCACGCGGGTTTTCGTCTTTTTCTGTCTACTTCATGCTTTTAATTTTTTTTGTTCGTTCCTTTTTTTATTTTTTCCCCTTCTCCCCTTTTTCTTTCACATCTGCGGTTCTCGCGACTCATACATGTGTAATGCTCGCAATAGTTCCGATCCCGGGTTTGCGGGTCCTTTTTGAACGTCGCGTTTGTCGGTTCCTCTGTTTTCAGTTCCATATGACAGGCACCCTGACCGCGCTCGGCCAGACAACCGGAATAGTCCCGGGTGAACACGCGTGATGTAACTTCGCGCTGATCCACCTATCTGGCACACACGCACATGCGGTATACACGTAGGTTACGCGGAACGACGTGCATACACACGCAGCCAAACCGGACTCGTGCATACATACGTTGACAGGCAGACGCGCACACGCGAAACGAAGGAACCACGTCTGGCCACGATTCGCGTAAATTTCACACGTGCCATAGGCAATCCCCACCCCAGAAGCTGCTGGCTCTTGGCCTCGAAACGAAACGGCCGCGACGTGTGTCCGTGTAACGCTTACACGCGTATCTCGCGATGGGAATAATTTGATTATCGTCGAGAAACAGAGAATTTGCTCGGTCGATGTGTGTACGCGATAATCATGCGTCCGTAAATCAAATCCGGTGGGTCGAGATCGGGCTAGCAAACGTTGATTACAATATACAAATATTCGGGAGGGATGTCAATCAATATTTGAAAATGTACATCGGAGCACGCGAGTGTTCTCGCGAATGGACTTGTTGAAATGGAGCATATATCGCAGGCGTGACTTTAAACGCGGAGTGAACTTGATCGATGTAACCACTGTTGATAACGCGTAAAATTATGTAATACTCCTCATGGACGACGTGCGAAGCGACGACGGTACAAAAGTTTGTCAATAATTTAAGCGAAATAGCTGCAGTAACGTTGCTATAGCTTCCAACAATCCGCGAACTTTGCTGAATAAACGCGAACCATCGATTTTCGTTGATATCTTCCCTGAAAAAGCATCGATACGCGTAGTTCTCTGTGTTTGTACGATATGTTTCCATTTTGAACTCGCAACTTTGAGATTTCAAAATGTCGCGAGGTTAACTTCGGTGTTTTCCTTTCCGTTTGTTACGTACTATACGAATACTATGAATATGTTCAGTCGGGTTAGGTTTGTTGATCTCCTGATACGGTAATTCATATACTATGTTTTCGTGTCCTGCATTCATATTAAATTAATGTACGATCAGGGTTACCGTAAGAATTTCAGAATGGGATTTGTTTGCTAAGTTAATTGTAAACACATATATTACACTACATAGCGTACGCTGTACAATTTAATTTTGATCTCGCTACTAGCATTCAGTTCGTCATTAAACAATGATCATATTTATCTTATAGGATATGGAAATCCAGGCGGCATGGATGCTGGAGGGACAGACTTCGACCCTAGTGAGTTAAACAAAATCTACAATTAATTTATACTTATTCCTCGATTGATTAATTTTACGTTATGAAAAGAAATTATTCGCCGATGCTCTCTATAACGATGTCGAAATTAGACGTACGTATAAACCTTCACGTAAGTCAATCAGAAAGATACATTCTGATCTATATTGCGAATCATCAGCATACATTATTTATTTGTTGAGAACGCCTTTGCGAAATTTTCACGAAACTTCATAAACATTCGTGCATCAACAACTGGAATGGTCGAATTTTCTCTGCATTATCTACAATCCAAACTGCAGATCTCTTTTCTGAATCTTCTCCAACTCGAATAGGTTTCGCGTATACGTGTTCGAATATAAAAACTTGAGAAACGGTCGCAGTGGAAAACACTTGTAGCGCGTATTCCGAGTTGACAGATCGCGTCGATCGTGTTTGGCCGTTGTCAATCTCGGTAACGTTTCGATGAAAGGATTCGCTCGAGAAATGTAATTCGGCAGAAGGAATGTAAGAAGTGTGCAACCAACAGCGATACCAGGACGAGGAAGAGGAATAGGGAACCGTACTAGCGCAGTCAGCTGGTCGTGACGTCACGCGATCATGCCGTGGATCTTTGCGGTGGGAGGTGCGACGTCGTCACGTGGTCGACGGCAAAGTCACGTGGCGCGCGTGGATCGCGAACGCAGAAGCCGGTGCAACGCGGACGCCGATTGGCTCGACGCGATTTCACCACCAAGATGTGCGCATTCCATCGGCATGACGGCGGGCTCCATGAATGACCGGCACGTCATTCCTTTACGATTTCATTTCCGACGCCTCGACAACGCGTCGTCGTCGTCTCCTCCGTTGCAGCGAAACGCGTGATCGTCTCTGCAACTGTGCAAAGGATCGCAACAACTGCTCCGCCAGATCGTGTGTGTCATCATCGCTGAATGACGGTGCTGTTACGTTAACGATCTCTTCACCCCGTTATCGTGGAGTGACACATCGCGTTTCAGTCATTTCCCTCGGCTCCCGGCCGCGTCCGTGTGTTTGTGAAAGTAGCGGACGGACCGTGCCACGGCGGTGACTCGCTCGTCGTTGGAAATCCTGCTTTAATCATTCAGCGGTTTCGCCGGCTTCAGCTTGAAGTCCGTTGCACCGTGAAGATTGCGCGAGTTCGCGATCGCGAGACACACACGACCGCTCGTGTACGATCAATCGAGTTCGCGGTGACACGCGTGGAACCTCCGACATGTAATTCGTTTCGAACGAGCTGTGCGAGTGTTTCATTCGATCGTTTCGAAGTGAGTCACTGTTACTCGGGACGAATATTCCGTGGTGTGGTTAAAAAGTGACTCATGTGCTGGTTCCTCGATCTCGCTGATCACTCACTAGATTTTCAAAGTACACTTGCCAAGTGTTTTCATGAGAACTACTCGGAACGATATGCGAGCTTCGGATGAATTTGCAACGATGTTCGAACGAAGGTTTTAATGCGGGAAGTGCAAAGATAATATTCGTTTCTATTGTTTTTTTTTTCTTTACGGTTGTCTTAACGTTTGAACGATGGGAGAAATCGTGGAGGTTTCGCAGGGTGACGGTCAACAAAATGCAGTGAATGGCTGGGGCGACACTACGAGCAAAATACAGTACTGGTGTCCTGAAGGTAGCTGTTACTCAATAATTGTAATAATTCTGAGAATGGTTTTTTAATAGAAAATGCGATAACGATAATAACAAGTTATCGCTAACTGACAGCTGCAGATTTATAATCGAATAAAGCATAAAAATGAAACCTGTGAATTATACGATTTCAATTCCACTTTGTTATACTCTACGAATATACGTGTATTTCGCATTGAATAATTCCGTTCCATGAATTTGAGAGAAAGTCATGAATGAACCGCGAATGAATTTCTTTTCATTCGTTAAACTACGTTCCATTCAAATTTGAAGTTAAGAAAACCACGAGGTACACGATTCCTCTAAAAACATCCGTAGGAATTTCGTGCGGTCGGTCTAGGTTAGCTGGCGTGACGCAAGGCTTGAAAAGAGTCGAGTGGATCTCGTTTTCTTAACCGTGTTGGCATTTTAGCCGTGGATAAGAAATGAGAAAAAGGACATTACGCGAGTAACATCAACATTGTGCCACGTTCGTACGCTACTGAAATATTTGTACAATGATTCAGTAACGACCATAAATGTTAAGAAACTCGAGATTAAAAATAGCTGCTGGAGTGAGGAGAAAAAACTCGCGCCCTCCGCTAAAAAAAAGTTGCTTTGCATAATATTATCACGAACGTCATAAAGATGTAAAAAATGAATTTGCGTAATGTTTTTTTTTCTAACGCTTGGGAAATGGCCTATGCAACTTGACGAATCTTGATCGCGTTCTTTATCGGTTAGCGTGTGTCTCACGGAGATAATTTACCGGCCGTGAGAAACAGATGTATGCGGAATTCGCAGAAATCCACTGCTGCTTTCGTCATTCGTTCCAACTCGTACGTTACTGGTTAAAATTTTACTGTTCCATGCAACAAAATCGCATCACTTCAATACCTATGCTTTTGTTTTTGTTAACATTTTGATAACAATTGATAAATGGACATTGTCTGTTAATGATAATAGGTACGACGAATTATAATAAATATCTTCACACTGAAGCGTGAATAATACAACATATTCACGTTTCGCATTAGACACGTGAACTTCTTGGATAAAGTAGGGAAGCTCAACTATTTAGCTATTCATTGAAGTCTGAGACTAATTAGTGCTCGTCACCAAGTTTCACCCTTTCCCGTCCAATGAAGTGTTTGTTAGACTCTCAGAGTCAGGTGGTAGAATTTTTACACAATTTTCATCTTTTACAGCGTAATTGATATCTGAGATAATAGATTCAAATTACGCGTTGTGTCAGCGTTGAGTGAAATTCATTTTTCACTCGACCTTCCTCATCGATGACGAAACTGATGATTAATCAAATTGATAATTGGACTTCATAAATATTTATTCAAGCTCTGTCAGCAAACGACAGAAACTGGAATTTTCATAATTTAATTCCAAAATAAATAGTTCATTACGAAAGGTTTCAATGGCACTTCTAGCCCTTATTAGGTCATAATTTATTATTAGAAGACTGAGAACACAATTAAATAATAATAAAGAAAATGTAGTATATTCGAAGAATCGAATAACGAGGTATTCCGAGAAAACCTCTATAACGGTACAAAATCCGCCTCGTGTCCATCATGAATGATGCATGAGTGGGATGCATTCAACGATTTTCTTCATACAACTTCAACAACGATGGACGCGTAATGTTTAGGTAATAGACAATGGAAATGTAACTGCTCAGATGAGAAGACATAATTAAATATTGATGAATCTTTGAATACAAATAGCATGTAGCTAACTTGCACAAACAGGAATGAGTTTTTATTCCTTACATGTGTAAAATATAATTTCCCTACGAATTATCAATGTGTAAGAAAGAAACCATCCTCGTCCTCAAATCCAAGGTGACTATGGTCGACCGAAAAATCGCCATAAACGTTGGAAGGGAACGTGAACGAAATATGTGATGCCACTCGACGCGTTGGTCTAGCGTGTGTTGAGTGAGAAAAGGAAGAGTAAGTAAGATGAAGAGACACAGGGTTGACGCGTCGACGCGCGGAGGCCTCGAAGGCGCAGAGCAGGCGTCGTCGGACGCGTCCGTTGATGGAAACGCGCGCCGGCTGGCCACGGAGGGGCGATCCGTAGAAGGGAGAACGGAAGTATGCAGTTCGTATTGAGGCAGGTCGGTGCGGAGCCACGAGTCGCGCTCCAGGCGCAGAGATCAATGTACTCGCCGCCCCCTTCGTACCTCGTCGTCGACGTCCGCGTCGTGGTCGTCTTCTAAATCCGCGATCCGTTACGCCGGGATGCGTCCACGAGACGATCCCGAGGAGAGTCCTCCGGAGTATTTCTAGTCGAGGCCGGAAGAGAATGGGAGAAGACGTTCCGGTTACATAAAGAGGCACGTGAGTGCGTGAGAACCTCGTCAAAGATGATCGGTTCATCTGGAAGGAATCGATGACTCGATGATTCGTGGGAAATATTTCTGGAGAGTCTCGAATTGGGCATCTGTGCTTCTTATCAGTGAAGGGTCTCCTGATCGGAGAATAAATTTCAAAGATAAGGATTGTCATCTGTTAAATACAAAAATTCGTTCTCTCAAATGTTTGATCGACGATATTAAGGAAAAAATGGGATCTCTGAGAGGCGAGAATACCTACTCCTTGACGAGGGATGTGGGTTCATAGAACGTAGCCGCCACCCATCGATGATTCAAGCAACCCCGACCGCGTTCTCTGTCTCCTGATAATAAATGGTGACCTAGTAAGGGCTGGAAAGCTCGAGGGTGGAGTTTAGAACAGTACGGGAATCGGCAGAGGATGACGGGTGGTGAGCCAGGTTGCGCCTCGGCGCAGCTCGAGGCCGACGAAGACGACGGTCATCACGGAGAGCCGTGAACGGTATCATGTATGCACCATTGAACGAGCTATCAAACCGCGCGCAGTGTTTATGTTCTTATTCGAGGTGTTTTAAACGCGGGTTCGACTCAAAGAGAAAACCGATCATCCAGTCTTGGACGCGATTGAAATCCGTGGACCAGGCGAAAGATGTCAATCGTTGCCAGGATTAATGAGACTGTTTCGAGTGGGAGGGGAAGTGGAGGGTGAGACGAAAGTTGAAAGCGGACGAGGGTGCGCGAGACGGAGGGATGTCGAGGCCCATTCTTCGCGGAGTGTTCTCGACCCTGTCCCAATTTCCAGGCTCGCGATAGATTCGAAAAAGAAAGAGAGAGAAAGGAAGGAAGTTACGGATTAAAACAGCTGCGAGATGCGCACCAAATGGTTCACAGTCGCTGGAAGAAGACAGTATAAGCGACTTGGGAGTAGAAAATTACTGAAGATGGTAATCGATTGAGGGAAACGCGGGGACGACGAGAGAGAGAGAGAGAGGAAGAGATAGTAAATAATAGACGGAGGGAGGATATGAGGACGAGAATAGGAATACAACAGGGAGTTCAGGTGCATTGACTATCGGTAGCGTGTGTATAGTCGAGCATAATGTTCAAGAGCAGGATCTTCCAGGGCGATCTGAGCCCTGTCCCAATTCCGGGCAACCTGCAACAGTCCAGTACGTAATAACGAGGGAAAGTCTTTACATTTAGATCGATCATTCGACGCATGTTTTGCGCAAGGTATCGATCTCCTTCGGGCTTAACTGATGAGTATCGGTCACGCTTGGTTTACAACCGTGTCCCATATTTTTGTTCATTTCTCATCTCATCGATCATCTTTTATTCAAATTATTTTATACCGAATATCAAAACATATAAAAAACGATTGAAATGTTATAATGCTTGTCGTATGTAAAATTATGCGAGAAACCTATCATTCTATTTCATTTGTCCTCAAAATCCTCTGTTTCGTACGTATAGGTGACATTCGAACGCTCCAGTTTCGACCATGGCCGACTCGATTGAGCAGAGTCGTCTTTGGCCGTAAAATGGAAACTCGCGGGAAGGTTAAGAGAAGCTGAAGGCTGATAACATGAAAGACTAGATAGAGGTGTATCCGGTGGACCGAGTGGGGCACCAAACAGGTCAACGACCCGTTTGGTGCAGCTGTTATTGATCGACGAAGACGAGGAGCACGAACGATGCTCGGTCGTTTCATCTAACTCTCTCTCCCTTTCCCTTCCTACTCGTCCACTCGTCCTTCGGTTCCCGCAGGACTCTGGGAAGTCTCGTTTACTTGTTCAAAAGCCGTCACTGCTCTTGATTTAAATTAGTTCACTTGTTTAAAAGCTGTCACTGCTCTTGATTTAAATTAGTTCACTGGGTTGCGAGACTCCTTCAAGACCCACATTTTCGGATCTTGAGACAATCTCTAGTTACGAGCTCGTCGAGTTTAAGAACCCTCAGTTGTAATACCTTTTACCGAGAGAGAACACCCTTAAAAATACTAATTTTCAATTACGAACTCTTGCTTCGTCTACTTATCGTCGATCGATATTGCTTGAATAATTTTTTAATACGATCCTCGAGATCTAACGTGAAAGTATTAAAATGTTAAAAGTATTAGTTAAAATGCCGATGGTTCGATCCAGAAACTCTTCCGTAGTAACTCGAGGGAATCCGACGCAGAGTTGACCCAATAAACACTGGGTGACCTCTTTCCCGAGTCCCACCCCACACCCTTGTCCCTCTGACCGGCCAACCCTACTCTCTCCCCTCGTTGTTCTATCTATCCCTACGCCATAAAACCATAACGATCCATGCATCGAGATGGTCAACGGATAATACATTAAGTTAGCTGCTACCTTTCCAGTTTTATGTCTCGCGTTGAGTGTGGGATGATTTAAAGTGAAATGCTCCTACGGGAAAATTGCGAATGGATACGGTGGACCGAGTTATTATTTCCCACTTTAGATGAATTGCCCCTTTTATTTCCCCTTTAGTATTGAGTCTTTTGCGAACGATAAATCACTGCAATGTTAGGGATTGATCGAAATGTATCGATGATTGAATGAAAGGAGAAGTAATTTTAGAGGATTGGTGAATTGGGAATAGGTGTTGATTGGATTTGTACGATGATTCCAGGCCAGCAGAGTCAGCAGGGTGAACAAGAGTTGGCGACGAAGATGCTACAAATTCAGAGCAAAAGATTCTATCTCGATGTAAAACAGAACAGACGTGGAAGGTTTATCAAAGTAGCTGAGGTATTTTTTTTTTCTTAAGAAAAAGTCATTAATATTAAGTCATTGTGAGATTTTAATATCAAGAAACTATGCGTGATGATTTTGTTTTATAGATCGGCGCAGATGGAAGGAGAAGCCAAATCTACCTGGCGCTTAGCACAGCATCCGAGTTTCGAAATTACCTCTCGACGTTTAGCGACTTTTACGCGTCCCTAGGTAATCGAAGTCCTCATTATTATGATTTTCAATTGCCACATTAATCACTGACAATTTACAATTGGATTGAACAAAAAGAAATATAAATTACGCGTGACTCACGAAAGGGCTAAGAATAGATTGAAACAATTGTACAATTTGAGAGTGAAACTTCTGCCGTGAATCATAAAACGCTGACTCAAAGCCGACACGGATTAATTATAGATCTGTAGCTAAAAACTAGTCCGGTCCACATGTAGGTCACAAGACAATGAACTCCTTAATACTTTTACCTCGGAACGACATTCTATTTTACATAGCGAGTTTAAAGATTGTAAAATAGTTTTGATTGAAGAACAAGGTTGGATAATAAAATGAGAGATATAAATTTTGTTCGAACCACCGACTCCGCAGGTCCACCAAGCTCGGAGAACGTTCCAGACGATGGCAAATTGAAGTCGGAAGTGATGACAAAGGATAACAGGCGGTATTATTTAGACCTCAAGGAAAATACTCGCGGCCGTTTCCTGCGGGTGAGTCACTCTCGTTGTAAGTTTTAAGATCGATGTAAAATATTTGATTGGAATAATGTTGTTCGCTGGCTCAGGTGTCGCAAACGATCACGCGAGGAGGACCCAGGACGCAGATTGCGATACCGGCGCAAGGTATGATCGAATTTCGTGACGCATTGACAGATCTCCTCGAGGAATACGGTACGGATGACGGCGGTTTCAAGGGTGACTTGCCAGAGGGACGGTACATGCGCGTGGATAGCAAGAATTTCTATTTTGATATCGGCCAGAATAACCGTGGAATCTACATGAGAATTTCCGAGGTGCGTACAGGACGTCGGTTAAAAATACGGCTGGACACGTTGATCCAAGCTGGATCTCTAAAGTAGTCGTTACAACATCGAGGGGGAAAATTTGAAAACAAATTTAATAATGATTTTGATAAAAAATGGAATGGGTTTAGTAGATGGGGAAAGAACAATTATAAGAGCAGGACGATGACGATGAATTTGAATGATTGGTTTCAGGTGAAAACACACTTTAGAACAGCAATCACCGTACCAGAGAAGTCCTGGGCGCGTTTTCGTGACATATTCGCGGATTACTGTGAAAGGATGAGAGAACGAGGTACTGGTAGCAACGTCGGTATGAACAGCGGCGGAGGAGGAAACGTGATGCCGGAGGGGAGGGGCTCGGTGGTGGCACAGGTACCATCACCATCGACCTCACAACAGCCTAACCCAAATCCAAATTTAGACTCTCCCTTAATGAAGTGAAAAAGGCTTTAACTTAACTCGAACATTGGAATTATAACCGTAAACTCGTTTTCAAATCATTAAGCGAAACTAAAGGAACTTGTCAAAGTCTATGCCATCGTCATCGCCATTCTCATCGACATCGTCACCGTCATCGTTATCGCCACCGTCACTATCACCGTCACTCGTCGTCAACTTAAAAAACAAAAAAAAAAATGAAAAAAACACCAAAACTCGCCTGGAATGGAGATTCTATATATATACATACATAAAACACTATGTGTATATATATATGTATACATATATATATATGTAGAAAAAGTATCGTCGCGAAGAGTTCACAGAAAACCTGTCAGAGTTAAATCGTACCATTCATTGCGTGCAGTTCCGATAGTGAAGACGTCCGCGATCGATCACCATCGCGTAGATCTCTCTGATCTATCAGTCGGCACGTGAAAATGGGAAAACAGAAAGCGATGAAGGATAGTGAAAAAATGAGAGGATAGATGATGTGTGTGTGTGCGCGAATTAATTGAAAGAAAAAAAAAGAAACGAGTCTGTCGCTCGTGCAGTTCCACAGAGGTACGCAACGACGGAGTCGTGGATATATAGAATTATTACGCGATGCTCTTAGGTGGATACGAGTTGCCATCGATTAACGTTATGAGTACTACCGTTCATTTCCTGAGCTTGTTTCTCTTTGCGCCACTATCTGTGATCTGTTCCATTCGCTTCCTTTCTTCTTTGCTTTGTTCAAAATTTTGCTAAACGTCGATTCCTCGAGCCGATTCATTTGGTCACACGCGTTCGCGTAATAGATACGAAAAGTGAAAAAAAAAAACATAAGAAGACGGGAAATGAACTGTAGTGGAGATCACGTTACAATTGAATTTGATCGTTCAGAATTTATGAATGAATGAATAGTTGTTATATTAACGATTATATCGCAAGGAGAAAGGAGAGCGTGGTGTGGATAGTCGCGTTGTTAGAGTTAAAGTCCCGTTAATTGCAGAAAGCGGAGCCAATCACTCGTCGGCTTAACCAGGAACGAGCTGACGTGCAACGAGATCTCGATCGTAGCGTGTATTTCATACATAGAGCGGAACAGATTTCACGTACTCCTTGCGTGAAGTCGAATCGTCTGTTTCTCTTCCTTTTTTCTACGCGCACAGGATGTATCGTTCGCTCGTCACGGTTGAGTCGAGCCGAACAGAAGGAGCAAAAAAAAAAGTTTACTCGCTTGATGCGTGAACGTCGAACCTGAATCTAAGAACCGCGATGCCGTACACATTCGTTTACAAACTGAACGACGTCTCTATTAAAAAAAATAATTAATGAAGTAATATATAACATAGGTGAAAAGAAAGAAGATTCTAGCCGAATACGAATCCCTATATGTACATTATACAAAGTTAATTATGTTACGTTTTTTGTTTTATCGATTCGTATGGGAATGTGCGCATGCAGACACGGTCATATTTAAGTCTGTTGGTTGTCAGGAATACGATATAATGTTACATACACGGGGAGATGAATAGGTCGTACACGTATACATTAAACGATTCGTACACACGTAAAAAGTTAAAAAGAGCAACTTCTCTCTCCTATACACAATGTTATAAAAACATTTTTACGTACACACAAAAAACACACACACACATACATACATACAGAGCTATTATCCCATCATGAAAGACGAACGGTACAAGAGACGGTGTGCACGCGTACGTGATTTACGTTACGTTTGAGTGACGGCCGAGTTCTAACACAATTGCATATTAGGTATGTATTATATGAATGCATATTAGGTATTTATATAGAATCTATATAACTGTATAATTGTAACGAAATGCCAATGTCCCGTGGACCCAGGCAACTGTACCACCCGGGCAACGCGCGGTCAATCGAATTGAATGGTGTTGCGGGTCTGCAGTCGCTTAGGTCCAGTTCCCTGGACGCAGGAAGAGAGAGAAAGAGAGAGAAATGAGGAATACAAGTGACAAGGAACAGGAAATAAAGTGAGATGAACGAAAACGAAAGAACGGTGGAAGGAGGAAACGATAACACGGATACATGCATGATGATACAAACGGAATGGAGAAGGCAAATGAAAAAATGATTCAGAGACGAACGACCGAGTCGGAAGGAGAATTAACGTAGTCGAGTTATTTCTCAGTGGAAATGGAAAATCTTAATACGCTTTGATTCTGCAACGCTGTGCTAATATCAACAATGATAAAATGAAAAGAAAGAAAGATAAAATGAAAAAAAAGAAGATTAAGATGAATATCTATCCGTTCTCTTACCGTTTCATCGTGACCGAAACGATAAAACGATTTAACCAAACTAAATAATCTAGATAATATTTCGCACTGGTGCGGAATTAATAAAAAAAAAAAACAGAGCAGCGGAGCGGTATAGATGCATTAAACGCATAAAGTGCTATTTAATTAATGAGAGAACGCGTTCCGATTCGTGCGTTATCGGCGCGTTTACACGTTTGAAGAGATGAGTAAAATTTTATTTATTTTTTAGCAATGAACCTATTATCTATTTCGATAAGGTATTTCTTTGATTGCATTTCCTTCGAAATCGACAATTTCGGCTGGTCTGAATTTACTTAGCACGTAGGTTTTGATGATATAAATGATATGCGATATAAATCACAATAACAAATTCGAATACGCACGAGTGGGTAAATCACCAAGAAGATTATACGTTCCGATCCTCTTCAATTTAATAATAGTTTGAACCACGTCCCTTCCATTCTTCTTCTTCTTCTTCTTCTTGTGATATTATTATCGTATAATTAACAAAATCATAATTAATCTAAATCAGCGATCCCAAAAAATGATTTCTTCTGCTCTGAGGTCTGTATCGTCTTATTGTTTTAAACAATTTTCTCTTCACACTGCATCAAACTGTTTTGTTAAGTTCAAGGGGGTCGGCAAACCCGCGATCTGTGCACAAGCAGTATAATAAATAATTGTCCAAACCGAGCGTTCTAATGGAAACGGCAAAGAAGGGAGGCATAGAGAAAAATCTATCGTTCAACTGACGCAGATGGTATGACATATTGTGATCTATAAAAATAACAAATTAACAAAGCATCAAGAAGTAGTAGATATTTAAGATATAAAAGATACACACGACACATACACTTACGGTGACCTAGCCACACTCATCTAAATGCTGATGTACGCCCGTGCAACACACACACACACACACACATACACTAAAAAAAAATTAAGGAGAAAAAGAATACAGATTATTAAAATGAGGACGACTACAACGTACCTAACTAATAAAAAAAGTGGGAAAAAGGAAACACAGAGACAGAGAGAGAGAGAGAGTATAGAAATAAATGATAAATGAGAACTACAAAAGAAAAATCATCCAATGCAGTAAAAAAATAATATAAAAATGAGAGGAGGCAAGAGAAGATAAGTGAAGAATGAAAGGAAAAAAAAACACGATGCTCCTGCCACGCAGCGAGTCCTTAGACAGCTTTAAGATAATAATTATAAATGATAAATAATAATTATTATTAAATAATAACGATAAACTTTCTATATGTTGAATCGTGTTTAGTGAGAGAAGTACTCTATTGAAGTAAAGCAAAAAAGTCTACTATCGTCACACACGGATTAACACACGTTTATAATTGACCATTAGTTGTCTATCGAATGTTCTTTTTTTTATATAGCGGACAAGGTGATTATTAGAGAATAGCTTGGTGTTTCGTTTGCTGTTTTACAAGAGAAAAAAAAAATAATAAAAGAACGTTGTACGTTTGATAAATCGGCAGACCTTTTCGCCGGATGTTAAACGCGAAGAAGCCGAAAGGTGAAGAAAGTGCAAAAAAAAATACAAAAAAAGAAGGTAGCCGAAGATCCACGCGTACATTTATATTTGGTGGGGCTTTTTGACCACTACTGTTATCACTATCACTGCTATTATCACGTAGGGTTTCCATACCAGAGCCGTGTTTCGCAAGCTGTTACATCGCGTAGAGAACCAATGTCCTGTTAATAACTAAATACATATACGATAATCAATCTCCCAATAGGAGAAGAAGAAACGGAGAGAGTGCGAGAGAGACACCGAGAGAGAGAGAGAGAATGAGACGAACGTACGCGTGTGTATGTGTGTGTGACCCGTCATTAATTATATTAATGTAATTGCGTTCGCTGGTATAGCTCTCATCGGCTAGAGGCGAAGCGTTTTCTCACAATAATTCAGATAACTTAAACCCCCACCCTCCCGAAAACGAACGCCCCGGTCACGTTCTTATCGAGGCGACGTTTTTCTCGCATTGTAAAACCGCTGTTTTTATTCTCGCGGCTTGCGACAGGAGATTAAACAACGCCACGGTATGAAAACCCTGCGCTCGCTGCGATTATTCTTATTATCATTATTATTATTATTACGATTATATTGTCATTATACTTATTATTACGATTTATTCTCCTTATTATTACTATTATTACTATTAGTACCATTATTACCAGAGAAAAAGAAATAACGCTGATCAGTTTATGTCCTGATCGCTGATCAGTCAAGACTAGCTTCGAGCGGGCTGATTTCTCGCTTCGTTTCCCCTTCCCATTGTCTTTTTTTTGTAATTATTTTTTACTTTTTTCTAATAAGCACGCGTCGATTCTTCTCCATCCTTGTTTCCAAAACTCCTCCGCGTCCTCTTTTCTATATTTTATTATTTCGTTCACCGTTTCCCTTCGTACTCGTTTACGTTGTACATCATTATTATTTTCAAACGTCAATCGGCCCACTCTGGCCCGGGTCTGGCATAAACTCGGTGCGTGAAGCGTACGCGCGAGGTAAACGCTATGCGAGACAAATGGCAAATAAGGAAAGAATTGAGCTAGAGAATGAGAATTCGAAACGGAAGTACGATTGATCCGAGACTTCGATCGACGCCTCTGAAAAACATTCTTTTAGGTTCTCGCCGTTCGACGAGTTTGCCCTTTCCCTTACGTCTTTTTTTCTACTACCCCACTACGATCTTGTTCTACTTAAGAGACGAAAAAAAGAAACGGAAGGGAGGATCACCTTTTAAATAAGCATGGCGTTTTCTTTTCTTCCTCTTATACTAATTAATTAATTACATATATAGCGCGCTCTCGCGTGTGTGCATGCGTGCGTGTATGTGTTCATGTGCGTGTATACTCGAGATGATCGAAGAACTATCTCTTTACAAAAAAGAAAAGAAAAAAAAATAATAATTAAATAAATAAACGAGACACGAGTACCGATCGCGGGGATGATGCACCCTCGAGGAAATCGGAGACCAATTTTCACTTATCAGCCAGGAGAATTAAATGAGAAATCTGTTTAATTTGCGGTTTACATGTAAAACGGTTACATATTGCGCTTCGACGATGAACGATGCAGGGTGCGACTGGACAGTTAGACGAGCATACTTTTTTAAACGAAGGAAAAGGAAATTAATTTCGCTGCGCTCGAATGTGTAAAGTCAAAAAAGATTCTGTTGACCCTTTGCATTCCAAGAAAGTGGAGCGCGTTCCTTCATCGATCCTTCGTACACTATGCCGGAATCACTAGGCATCGACAGACGCAATAACGATCTTGTGTCATAGGGATGAATCGTTGAGAAGTGATACCGGCATGGAAACAGTGGAAGAATCGATCTAAGGATTAAACGTTGATCAAATTAGATTTAATTTTCTATCCTCCAAACGACACCGAACGCTACTTTTATAGAAATAATAGATTTAGAATCGCGCCGTTTGACTGCCGATGTATCAATGTATATTGTATCATCTTGTATTAGTTGGAAAAGTTTTGTGAAGTTGCTGGTCAACTAACTTTTGGAAAGCTACAAGTGCAAAGGGTCAACGAACTGTTAGCGTGCTTTTAGAATCGTATACACATGTATATATATAAAAATATATATATATACAACATACACACATATATATATATATATATATTTTGTTCGAGAAAAGTCGTGCATGGGATATTTAATGATATTACGATGACGATGATGACGATAATATCACTGCCTGAAATAATCACGGCCTTCGTCCATAAACGGTTAAATATTTTGGCAATCAACTGCAAAGCATCTTTCAATTGAATACGGTTAAATAAGTTTTTTATTACAAGTGCAACTGTCGTGCCTTTTCAATCAATCTGTATCGTATTGTTTCTCGACGAGCCTTGGTTAATCGACTTTGTAAATAGTTATTAAGGAATAATAGTAGACTATATTCTAGGTTTCGTATATTTCGCCTTGCAATGTTCAATAGCAGTTTAGCACTCTGCATCCGGACGACTGGTGAACGCCTCGAGTCGATCGACGAAGTTAAACCGGAATTTCATTTGTCCGTCGATTTGACGAACGAAAGCATCGAGATATTTCTATTGTCCAAGAACGTGAAAAAGAAACTTTGATTTCGCACCCTTTATATGTACATCTTCAAGGTGCATCGTCCCTAGGCATCGGTGAAATGTTAACGAAAAATACGTGACGCTAGGAACGTTTAACACCTCTTGAACGTTGTTTATTTCGAGGATCGATATCAGCATAATATTATAATTATTGTTATATAAAGAAGATGAGAAAAAAAGAAACTAATCGAGTCAAGTTTTCAAAATGTTACGAGCACGAGGATGATCTGCCGCGGACATATGGTTCATACTAATTATTTCTTCAAATCAACGTTTTCTCGCCATAGTTTGTAATATTTTAGTATATTAACTATTCGAAGAAAAATATGCAAGAGAGAGAGAGAGAGAGAGAGAGCGAGAGGGATTGAAGTAATCGGAAGTGGACGAAAGATCGATCAAACGCGTGAATGATCGACGAATACTTGAGACGATCTTTCGTCTCCCAATGTGGCAAGGAACCATGCAGAGAAGTGTTACTATAAAAGAAAAAGCAGGAACGATGAAAAAGAAAAATATTAAAAATGAACCACTGGTGTACACGTGCCACGATCGTGTATGCGCTTATTTGTTGGGTTTGATTATATGGTTGAAAAAGGACGACGAGAAAATCTAAAAATTCGGGGGGGATAGAGTAATGCTTAAGGAGAACATTTAAGGATAAGGGAAAATGAAGATTCGTTTTACGCACGACAGCTGTTCGTCTATATTCGACTTGCGTGTCCGACGAAACAAAATTGAAACGAGATACGAAGGAACCGAAGAAACAGTAACGAAATGGATATATAATTAATAGAAACGATACTACTACGGCTCACAACACGTTTGAAAACAAAACATTAAATGACAAAAAAAAATGATTCATCGCCTCGATGTTGAATGTAACACGTTTTACAAGGTAACAGAGCATTTCATTTTATAACATTTCTACTGTCTATACTTTTACCCGGACATTTTCACCGTGGACGAAAAAAAAAAAGATAATGTAAAGCAGTCCATGTGATCCACAAGCCGCTCCTCCACATCTCCTCTATCCGTCGATGTAACAAGTATGATTGCGCTCGATTAGGATTATTGGCTGAATACGTTTTCGTTGCAAACTGAAGTCTTCGAACTTCCTGAAATTCATGTACTTTTTAATTTTTATTTTGTCGAAACGAAATATTGTGTTCGATCACGTTGAAACACAATGAAAATGTAAGAGATACAGAGTTATAGAGACGTTTATATGGTTTCTTTAAATTTTACTATAAATTAACACGATCCCTCGATTGAATTTTTCCATGAAACACTATAATTTACACGTGCGTTTTCATTTACGTTTTCCATAAAGAAAGGTGCAATAAGCGTTCGCACAAGAAACGTTTTATATCTCCAAGGTGTACAATTTATCGGCAAACTGCAACTACCTCCCAAGTGAGAATCTAAATCTTTCATTTACAATCTGAGTGAGAATGTATTTATTTGTCATCGAAAATTCACTCCCATGCCCATTTCCTCTCATCTAACGAATCAGGATGAACAGAGTTCCCGGAAGAGATGGCGGAGATTGGCACGATACTGTATTCTCGGTGCAGCAAAGAGAATCTCATCGTCTCGATCCTTGTCGTCTTCCTGGTACTCTCTTCTCATCATTCCTTTCGAAACGATGTCGATTGTAAGGTTCATTCCGTGCGTTGAACTCTGCTGCATTGATACGTTGACTTCGACAGGTGACACAGAAAGCCGGCGGTGTAAAGAACAGAACGGAAAAGCGACAGGCCGATCAGCGGCAGCGCGAATCATTGAAACGGCGCAAATCCCTGCCGCGGCAAGCAGAACCGAACGCTGTCAATCCTGAGAAATCCATGTCCGCCCCAGCCTCCCAAGTCCCGACCACCACCGACATCCCGATGTCCTCTGGTTCCGCTATAACTACGTCCAGCACGAGCAAAAGCACGGTGTCCGAGGAGAACGTTTCTAGCGCGTCGACGGCGTCGCAGGAGATTCAAGGTGTACCGCGCTTAGAAACTGTGCAAGTGTAGACACCTCATACAGGTATTCTACCGTTGCGCACGGACTTAGGACGCGGGAAGAAGCGATTGAAATGTAACGTGATTCGTGATGCTTAAAACGCGCAGTCGTTTAATTTGTTGTTTTAATGTTCCGTACTTCGTGTGCCGCGTGTTTCGCGCGTAGTTTCGTTTCCCGGTGGACACGGGTGTCCGTTCGCTCGCGGGAATAGTTCGCTTGTTGATTATCGAAACGTTTAGACAGTTAGTTAAGAGGGTTTCCAGTTAAATACCAGTGCAAGTGGATGCGTACGTGTATCGACGCTTCGAACCGGCTCTTCTCTCTCACGGTAAATTATTATTACTCTTTTCTAATTATATAGTTAGAAACGTGATGCCTAGAAATTTTATCGAGCGAGAGAAATGACAGATCTAAAGTCGCCCACTGATATTTTCGATTTATATTCGACAACGTCTACTTTCTCAGTTAAACGGAGAAGAGCGTTCGTTCTATAAGAAATTCATTCGAAAAAAGTCGTTTCCCTTATTTTCATTTCGATCCTCTGAAAAAAGTAAAGGTATTCTTTTCGTATCTTTGAAAGACGATGGAACCCTACGTAAAGTGTTGTCAAGACGAGAAAAGAAACGTTTAATAACTTGACGTGAGTTTTTGTTCCGTTACTCTCGATTGTTTTAGTAAAGATGGATCGGTATCGTTAAATACTTTGCTCGTTCTTGCATGAGACAGTAGCTGTATAAGTTACGTAATAAAAATGTCCGGTTTCGGTTGGATACGACCCGAGATTCGCGTATTCGCAAATTGCGATAAACAAGGACCACCTATTGTATGCGAATAACGACTTAAGTTAATTATTACATTCTGTTCAGAGCTATTCAATTTATATTACACAGCTAAACATTTATCAAACATTTAATAAAGGTACTTTCTTTTGATACTAAAAACATCAATGCGTTAATTTATTCAATTTAAAATACATAAATTCATTTGTCAACAGTCTTTAAAAAGGGTATAATCAGTATGTATAAAATTTTCATCTTCATCGTACGTCACTCAATATCAGTCAAACGCAAATATTCTCCAGTTAGCTTTAACCACTGGGGGTAATGTGATAACAACATTATTACAGTGTCTTTGTCTTCGTCGTAAATAGCTTTCAATCTCCTCAACATCGAGCCTTCAGTATGATTTGTATGATACGATGGTTCTATTCGTAGTAAAATGATCAACGACTGTAAATTTCGTGGATAAAGATCTAGAATATCGCCACCAGAACTTTCACAGTGTCCCTTGATTCGTTCAAGTACAGATTGGATAAATTTCATAACTGTAGAAGCATAATCTAACTGCACTAGCAATTCCTTCAGAAATCCGCATATTAATACAAAAATATGAGGAGATTTGCTAGCAAATACAAATAATTGATTCGTCAAGCTTACATTCTCTGAATTATCATCGTTATCTTCAGCCAAATTAGTGCACTGTGACATGAAATCACTTAGCAGCGGTTGTTCTATAAATTTACACCTTTGTGACTCATATATATTTTCTATGATTGAAAACTGGAGGCTCAGATCAGAACCTTTTTGGACGGCATAACACAATAAATATTCACTCTCGTCACAACTTTCTAACTTTGCTAGTTTCAACAATAGTTTCTCTAGGTAACATTTATAATACGAATTTGTATTAGTTAAACATATTAAAGCACTGGTCAGTGATGCCAGATCACTGACGGAGTCACAGATATCTAAAACATCATCGGTCAAGTAATTTTCCAATAAATTGTTACGTAACTTCAAAGCCTGCTTTTCGTCTCTCAGTATCTTGAACTTTTCAAGGGTGTCCTTGATCCTACACCAATCTCTGAGAAGACCCTGAAATAATATTGGACCACGTATGACCAGGATATTATTGTCAAATGATTTTATTAGAATACGTACGATTACGCTCAATCGGGCGGTGTAATATTGACTTGCTTCTTTAGACACTTTATACGACAATAATTTTGTTAAGGATAAACACAGTGCATTGAATAAATCCTCGGACGTTGGCAAAAATTGATCTTTCTGCAACAGCCTTCTGTAGTCCTTCGAGCTTTCGAAATCTTTCGTCACTGTCTCACAGCTGTTTAATATAATTTCTAGGATTTTAACATCCATACTTCATTGAATATTAAGGAATAAGAAAATTAAAGCTGCATAATAAAATAGTACCAGAGGTGTCAACCATGTCAACCCTCGAAAGGGTCCTAAAAATGTTGAATGTGATAGATGGCGCGGCATCAGTTTCACTGTTCTTTTCGAACAGATCAGTCGAATTGTTTAATCGCGAGATCATATAAAAAGTTAATTCAAAGTTCCATACTGTGATAAATTAAACTGTTCCGAAATCATTTAAAACAACCGAAGACATGGAAGATACATTTGTTTGCAACAAATGTTTTGCGACAGCGATCAGAGTAAAGAAGCCGTTTCATTTGACGCAATGTGGTCACATTTACTGTAACGGATGCATAAAACAAGGCAATAATGAGCAACATTAAACATATAACAAATCCAATGATTAATTTCTGTCAAACTCTCTCGTACTTTATTCGTTAATTATTCTCTTCTATAATCTAGCTGAGAAAGAGTGTCCACAATGTAAACAAGTAAATGTATTTACCGTGGAATTACAAAAGCCGTTGTTATCAAAAGTAGAAGAGTTATTCGTTCCATTGGGCGAATCACTGGCTATGTTAAACAGAGTATACGGTTTTCAAAATAATCAAAAAACCATTTTAATACAACGTTTTCACGAAGTTGTACGTTGTTTCATACATTATAATCTTCGCGCGTTCTTCGCAACGATACACAAACGTAAATTATATCATTCAAATTTAAGGATAAAAAATATGATATCTTGAAGTTAAATTACTATAAGTTGGTGCAAGACGCGAGCAAATTGAAACAGAAGTACATAAATTTACAAATGGAAGTGGTTGAACTGAAAAAGAAATTATTGTCTCACGACGTGCAAAATAGAACAATGCATTCGAATGATACTGTCACGCCGGTTAATGGTATCAGAAACGGATGTAATCAAATGAGGTACAAGCGCGTGTCTTACAAATACAAATCAATGAAACATTCGATGATTCGATTCGCGGCTATACTAAATATATTTGTAGAAGTACAACAAGCCCGTATTTCTCTTGCGGAACGAATGGAACGAATGAGTTATTACACGATTCAACAAGAAGCACGGAAAGCGGGCTCGCAAGAGGTTTCCATAACTTTCGTATTCCTAATAATCCTGATTCCCGATCATCCGGTCCGTGCAGAATGGGCGGAATGTCATCAGATAGATCAGACCGGTCGTCGGTCGTAAATACAAGATCCCGTATCGCTGAACCTCGATCAGCCGGTTCACGTGGAATAGCTGCAATACTATCGGATAAATCGAACCGGTCGCCGGACGCGAAAGCAAGATTCCGTACTCCTACTCGTCGATCAGCGCAATTAGCCAGTTTACGTGGATTGTTATCAGATAGATCGGGACAGTTTACGGACACTAGCTCAAGATTTGGACGTTAAACAGAAGTTAGGAATTACCGAATTTATTCGGTGTTACAAAGCGGTCTTAGAAAATCGTTCATTAAAACAGTTTCTACTTTGTTTACTAGCATCGTTCTACTATTCAGTCAATAATTACGCGGCAAATATAGTATAAGAATTTTATGAATGAACGATGTTAGTGTAGTTCAAGTTAGGTTAGCAACGCTTTGAGACGCGTGGTTTTGATTCAAATGTTAATCGAATTATAAATAAAATGACAGCGTCTGAAAAGTCATCGAAAGATACGAACTTTGGTTTCGTTCCACTGTTAATCGTAAGTAATATTGTGTTTAGTTGTATAAGATTGAAATCGGATATGAATTTCGGCTTTCGTTTGATGCAAGCAGGCAGGAGGAGTAGCAGGTACTTCTGTCGATATAATATTATATCCATTAGACACGTTAAAAACACGATTGCAATCTAAACAGGGATTCCTAAAATCGGGAGGATTTTCTAATTTCTATAAAGGGATCACTCCTGTAATTATTGGTTCTGCGCCAAGTGGTAAACATTTAAATCAATCAAACAATATAATAATTATACTATACTAGTTTAATTGTTACGATGTATTCTAGCTTCTTTATTTTTTGTAACATACGAGGGTATTAAAAATATAATGGAATACAGAGTATCTGAAAAGTATCATTCTTTTATTCACATGGGCTCGGCATCTGTGGCTGAAATGGTAAAACGTTTTTAATGAAAGGTTTCGTAAAATATCAATCTTAATTGTACGTAATTTAAAGGTAGCCTGTTTAATAAGAGTACCTGTAGAAGTCGTAAAGCAAAGAAAACAAGCTTTGACATTTGATAAGAAAGACGTTAGCCTTAGACGATTGTACCGTGGTTATTTGAGCACCGTGTTGAGGGACATGCCTTTTAGTCTTATACAATTTCCAGTATGGGAACGGTTAAAAAGAGTTTGGGGTTCACACACTGAGAGAGAAATTCTTCCTGTAGAAAGTGCTGTATGTGGAGCGATAGCAGGTTTAAACCTTTCGTATTCTGCCACGACATTTTCTACTAGATATATAATGATTCTACAAAATTTCCCAGGAGGAATTTCTGCTGCTATGACTACACCGTTAGACGTGGTAAAAACGAGAATAATGCTATCTCATAGAAACGAGAGTGTCTCGAAAATGAAAATCTTATATGTACTGAAAGACGTGTATAAAGAAAAGGGATTGTCTGGGTAAGTCTTGGAACTTGATTTATGGTCGACGATCGCACGAACAAATTTTACTTAGAAAATTTTATAGGCTTTTCGCTGGGGTCAGCCCCAGGGTAATTTGGATAACTTTGGGAGGGTTTATTTTCTTCGGGACTTACGAGAAAGCCAAACATCTAATAACGAAGTATTGCTTATCTGTACCGATTGTTATGAAGCCAGATACGAAGTATCAATAATATCTATAACTGTGCAAATAAACTTAGTTGAATCGCATAAAAGGAACTGTTAAAAAGTAATTTCAATATTATTTATCATT